TCTGGCTTCTCTCTGTAAAAGGCCTGCAGCACTAATTCCTAAGTGCTTGCCCACCTCCCCAGGGCCCCGTGATATGGGAAGTCTGGAGAGGAAGAGAACGGCCTGCATCTAGACATACGGAGGATGCCCCATTCTGTCTCCAAGAGAATTACCTCCAGAATTATTGATTTAACTCGAGAGGAACCTGAAGGTAGGAACCAGGGGAGGAGATCCCAGATATATGGCTTCAGAGAAGGAAGCAACACTCAAACTATCACATACCCTGTCTTATTTAAAATCCAAACATCCGGGCACTTGGGTGGCTCAGTTGGTTAAGCAACTGCCTTCGGCTCAGGTCATGATCCTGGTGTCCCGGGATCGAGTCCCGCATCGGGCTCCCTGCTCAGAGGGGCGTCTGCTTCTCCCTCTGACCCTCCCCCCTCTCATGCTCTATCTCATCCTCTCTCTCAAATAATAAAATCTTTAAAAAATAAAATAAAATAAAATAAAATCCAAACATCCTACAGCTCGGACTCTGTTCTGCCCTCCCAAACTCCAACTTGGCCAGTGGGAAATGGCCTGCCTGTCCTGGGAAAGAAGTTGGTAGGCTGCCAGTGAATTCTGCCCATCCACCCACCCACCTTGCTGCCTAGGGTGCCCGCACTGTTTCTTCTTCTTTTAATTTAAATTTTATTTATTTATTTTTTAAAAGATTTTATGTATTTAAGAAAGTGAGTACGAGCGACCTGGGCGGGGAGGAGCAGAGGGAGAGGGAGAAGCAGGCTCCCCACTGAGCAGGGAGCCACATGCGGGGCTCCGTCCCAGGACCCTGGGATCATGACCTGAGATGAAGGCAGCTGCTCAACCGACTGAGCCATCTAGGCGCCCCAAATTTATTTTCTAAGTAAGCTCTGTGCCCAATGTGGGGATCAAACTCACGACCCCAAGACCAAGAGTCACAAGCTCCATGGACTGAACCAGGCAGGTATCCCAGCCTGCGCTGTTTCTGCCTCTGGGATCAGGGTCAGATCTGGCAGGAATGCACCCCAAGCTGGGTACTGACACACACACACACTCCTATCATCTCATCAAATCGCCCCAAAACCCTGCAAGGTGGGTTCTGGTGTTCCCATTTCACAGACGTAGAAGCTGAGATTTGCAGGCAACAATGGACAATTTTAGCTTTCTAGTCCCCAGATGGAAGCTGCTAGCAGGCAAGAAAAAGGAGTGGGTAGGTTCTGCCTGGAATTTCGATCTCTGGGTGTGCCTGAGGCACAAACAGGCCCAGGTGTGCTGGACTGAGATGAATTAGGATAAAGGTGCCTGATGGGGGCGCCTGGGTGGCTCAGTCGTTAAGCATCTGCCTTCGGCTCAGGTCATGATCCCAGAGTCCTGGGATCGAGCCCCACATCGGGCTCCCTGCTCAGTGGGGAGCCTGCTTCTCCCTCTCCCACTCCCCCTGCTTGTGTTCCCTCTCTCGCTGTATCTCTCCCTGTCAAATAGGTAAATAAAATCTTTAAAAAAAAAACAACAAAGGTGCCTGATGGCTGTTACGCATTCATTCACTCAAAAATTATGTGAGACCTTCCCGACTCTGTGCCAGGCACAGCGAGGGGGATAGAAACACAAAGCAGCCACAGCCTTCGCCCTCCTCACCATTGCAGTGGGTCAAGATCATGAACAGATGATTCGAATATTGTGTGTTCATAGCAATAAAAGATGTAGAGGACTGGGACCAGGAGGGCAGCAAAGAAAACGCCCCTTCTGCCTGCAGTGTAAGGCTATGCGGGCCGTGAGTGGTTTTGCAGAGTGTGCCTCGTGGAGTAGGTTCCCTGGCTGAAGGGCATCGTCGGGCTGCCAGATTGGGAAGGGCTGTGGAGCACCTTTTGATTATTCAAGAGCAGTGGCCTCCGACTGAGCGTTCACAGAGCGCCAGGCTCGGACACAGCTGCACTCGCCCAAGGAGGGGCAGGTCCAGGGCTAGCTGCCCTGCCGGGGGACATGTAATGTGCGAAATACTTACCAATTCAAATACCAACAGGGACGTTTGCAGAGCAGTAACTTAGTGCCAGGCACGAAGCTACTGCCTTTACAGACCTGCCCGTGTAATGCCCACCTCATGTAGCAGCGGCTACGCTCCAACTTCCACAAGAGGAGACAGAGGCCTTGGAGGTTAAGACACTTGGCTTGGGGCGCCTGGGTGGCTCAGTCGTTAAGCGTCTGCCTTGGGCTCAGGTCATGATCCCAGGGTCCTGGGATCGAGCCCCACATCGGGCTCCCTCCTCGGCCGGGAGCCTGCTTCTCCCTCTATCCACCCCCCTCCCCGCTCTCTGTCTCCCTCACGCGCTCTCTATCTCTGACAAATAAATAAAATCTTAAAAAAAAAAAAAAGACACTTGGCTCGAGGTGGGGCCCAGCTAGTACAGCTGTGGTGGCTCAGGCCTGCTGCCCACCCACCACTGTGACTGTGGGGGCTGTGAGCAGGGCTGTTGCCGATCCTTCCTTGGTGGGGGTGAGGAAAGCCACCGAGGGAGCAGGTGGGCACAGCTGGAAGTCCCCTCCCCCTCCTCCTCAGACTGTATTACAGCCACCCCACAGCCTCTGCCCTGTAGGATTCTTGACCCAGGTTGGTCTTCCCAGTGAGATGTCTGTCACCTGCCACCCAATCTCTGCATGGCACTTGTCCACCTAACACCTTTTGCACTTGTGAGAACCAATGAAGATACTGTAACAGTCTCCATTTTGCAAACAAGTTCAGGCTAAAACTAATTAGTAAAACTCAAATTCTTTATATGAGATGCCTTTTAGGGAAAAAGTTTTACTATGTTTATTAACTTTTTTTTTTTTTTTGCAGTGACAGGGTGGGTCACCTGCATGGCCACCATACCAGATTTCATGGGCATTTCCTACCAGAGGGACTGGCTTTGCATGAGGATGAAAGCATCCTCGCACAAATGCCTGGGCAGAAAGGTGCTCAATTCAGCATCCACTTGGGGCTCAAGTACTTCCCACTATTTGTAAAATCCTAGAGGAGGCAGGTGTCACTGTATGACAGCACTCCCCATTTAACAGATGGGAGAACCAAGGCTCAGGGAAGTTCTGTGACTTGCCTGTTGACCTGAAATCCCAAGAGGCCTGGTGATGGTGTCCCCAGGACCAGCTGGAGGGTATTCTATTCCCTACTCCTGGCCTAACAAAGTGCGCACAAATGCAGATGTCCCGTCACCATCCGGGGGAATCTGATTCTGTGGTCACCCGAAAGCAGAAAGTCAAGCTCGGCTGCTTTCTCAGACGGTATGGTTGGGAGTGCATATGCTAGGTCAAGCCTCCAAGCCCCTGGCATCCTCTCACCTCCCCCCAGATCCTCCTGCACCCAGCAGCAAAAACAAAACAAAAACAAAAACGAAAGGGCAAGGGGAGGAGCTGAACATAACGGCATCTTGGCAGGGGATGGGGAGTGGGGAGGTGGTTACTTGTGCCAGTGCCAAAGTCCAAAAAAAAGGGAATGGCAAATCGATACACTCAGCTCAGCACAAAGTTCAAACTGGATTTCTGCCTGGGACCAGAGGTCATGGGTTCCAACTCCCTGGTGTCAAACCCCGGCCAGGGATGCTCCGATCCTCCCCCATCCTTGCCAATGCCAGCTTGGCAGTGGCAGGAAGTGGGAGCCTGGCGGCCCTTGTATTCCCAGCACCCAGCTCTGGCTGGATGGGGCTCCTGGTGACCTCACTTCCTTCACTTCCACCAAACCAGCTGGTCCTCTCCAGATCCACCTTCTACCTTCAGGCTGAAGGGTGCCCTTTCTCTGTCCAGGGAGGCTTCTGCGGGCATCACGGACACTCCTGCCACACGCTGCCACCAGGTGGAGAGCTGGTGCAAGCCAAACGGGCCCTGGGAGGCCCAGGCTCTGCTCCCTACAGTCTGCACCCTAAGGCCTCCCCCTTCACTCTCTGGGGACAGAAGGCTCTCATCACAACTCCTGTTTTCCTACTGTGCTGATCCAAACTGGGACCGTTTGGAAAACACCAAACATGGGCAAAAAGCAAACAGCCTGCTTGCTGTCCTGGGACTGGAGTGAGACAATGACAGGGCAAGACCACCTGCCTCTGGTGAGTTCCCCTGGCTTCTGCATGGCCCAGCGACACCCGACCACTCTCTCCCCACCCTCCTCCCAGCCCTTTCTCTTCCTCCGAGATCCTCCCCTCCCATTCCCAGATACAAGCTAGCGCTTACTCCTCACATTCCTGAGACTCATAAATCCTTCTGGGTGGCAGAGCCGCCACCACCCCCGAGACGCCTCTGCACCTCCTCCCCGCACCCCACCCCCACACATCGCCCTGAGCCCGTGGGGCTCCCTCTCTTAAAAGTCACACTGTACTTCAGGAGGATGAAGTCCAGCCGGGCTGAAGTTAATGATACACGCACCAGCCGGCGGGGGTGGGGCGGTCCCTGGAGAACCCTGTCGGCGACCCCTCCCCTCCTTGTGCCGGGGCTCGGGACGGAAAGGAGGTTGTTACTCCCCTAGCTTTTTGAAGTCGGGGTGGCGGTTGCTTCACACCAGCTTCAGCTACCACCCACAGGGGCCGGGGAGGAAGCTGGCACCTCTGGGGCTGCTGGAAGTGGGGTGGCCGAGGAGGGGAAGGATTGCGGGGATCCGAAGAATGGAAACGGACACCGCCAACAGAGCCGAGGAAAGGGGACTGCACTCCCTTGAGCTGCCCTCCCTCACTCCCACTCCCAAAGGCCAAGGGACAAGAAGTGCAGGTGGCAAGATGCTCAGGGTCCCAGCCCAGTCTGGGAAGGGGCGTGGGGGTAACGGGACGCAGCCCCAACCTAGCAACTTGGACGCAGCCCCAAGCCAGTGCGACCTGTCGGTAGGCGGAAGCAGTTTCCCCCTCGAGGATCTAGTTTCAGAAAGAGGAGGCAGGCGCGGGGTTGGACGTCCAAGGGGCGCCTGGGTCTCCTCCCGCTTCCCCCTCCCATCCCCTTCCAGTCGCCGCCGGGTCAGGGTTCACACTTACCCGCTCCGGACGGCTCTTCTCGGTTTCGTGCGGCTCCGGCGCGGCGGCCTGCGGCTCATTTTCGCCACCAGCCCCCTGCGCCTCGGTGGCGGCCGGCGGCTCGGCCTGCCCGGGCCCGTCCTGGGCGTTCAGCAGCTCCTCCCGGACCTGGACACCCAGCTTCTGCAGCCGCTCGTCCGTCTCGGGGTCGACCACCAGCAGGCGCACTGCGTTGAGCGCCGCGCGGATGCGGCTCACCACCTGTTGGTGGGTCTCCTTCTCTACGTTCTCGCCGTTCACCTCCACCAGCCGGTCTCCGGCCAGCAGCCCCGCCTTCTCGGCTGGCGACCCGGGCTCCACTAGCCTGATGAACTGGCCCACCTTGCCCTTCTCCCCGTGCAGGTGGAAGCCGTAGCCGTTCGGGCCCTTCTCCAGACAGCAGAGCCGGGGTAGGGGCGCCCCGGCCGCCGCGTCCGCGCTCATCTCGCCCTGCGACGGCTCAGTGGTGAGACTTGGGTTCCCGTTGGGAGCCGGAGGCGGGAGGAAGCCTCAACCCTTCTCCCCGCCCTGCGGACCGGCAGGCGGGAGGAAGCACCGCAGAGAATCCCCGCGCCGCCGGGTGGGCTGAGCGAACAGGTGTGCGGCGAGCGGCGGCCGCGAACTGCGAGGAGTTGAAGCAGGAGCGCGTGGACCAATCCCCACCCAGCGCGGCGTCTGAGCGATCTCGAATCGGCTCCAGCCCCTTATTCCGGGGGCGGGGCCACACTGAGGGTGTGGACACCGCAGCCCAATCAGAGACCACAGACAGGGTCGCTCGGGCCGGGTGAACGACGCCGGCCAATGGGAACGCGCGAGGGCGGGGTCCTGGGCTCGGCGCGACGCCCCGCGGCGCGAGAAGAAAGAGGGCTCAGGAAGTGGAAGTGTTTTGTTACCAAGTGGACGAAGTTGAGGCGGGGGGCGGGGCGAGTTCCCGGTACTGGGCAGAGGGGCCCTTAGGCTTCTGGTTTTCCCTACCTTTGGCGGGGATTGAGGAGAGCCAACCCACGAATAAAGGACTCTAACGTTTTAACGACCTTTAGCTAAATCCTTGTGTGTACCACAGTGAGGGGTTGGGAGGGTAGGAGGTGGGGAGCAACTGTTGCCGGGGAAACCGCTCCAGCTCCGGGGCTGCGGGGTCCCAGAAGTCTTGCGAGTAAGACTAGGTCCACCTCCGGCCCAATAACGTTGCTTGAATAACGATATTTTCCCGTTCATGGCCTTTGCGTTGTCCAAGGACACGCTTACAGGGGTGCGGGCTCTCATCCTCGCTGGGACATTATGAGGGCTCAGCAGGGAGCCCAGGCTTCCCAGGGCTGCCCACTGAAGACAGGTCACCGAGGACAAGGGTGTGAGCACTGGCGTCAGCGTTTGGCCAGGTAAGTGGGGGAAGAGAGGCAGAACACAGTCAGGTAACCAGTCTCTGAGTACAGGGCGGAGGGAAAGGAGCCCCGGCTTTTTTCAATAGGAAAAAAAAAACGTCCGAATGGGACGTTAAGACAAACCTTTCAGCTCCTTGCAGATGAAAGGCTGATCACAGAAGTTGGGGAAGGGTCTTTTAAGGGTGAGGTGAGCAGTTGGGGGCATTGAAGGATGAAGATCAAATGATTTGGGCAGTCAATGACAGTTCCCCCAACGTGCAATAACAGTCAATGTGATCTCCCCTGTCCCCTCTCCATGAGCACCTCAAAGAAGCAGTGGACAGGGTGTACTTTCCCAATTCTGCAATTTAATTCTGAAAACACAAATGCTAGAGGCCCAGAGCAGCCCATGTGACTGGATTGCCTGCGACCTGCCTTGGGCCCCAGAAGAGCCCAGCAAGGTCAGGCCTCCCTGCTCCTCCTGGGAGAAGCCTCAGAGAGCTTATCAGTCCCAAGTTGGAGCTGCTGACTCTGCTCAGAGAGCAAGATTTCTGCCTTGAAAGCAAATGCAGTAGCCTTAGAAATGTGCTGTGTGTACTTCTTACTCTCCTCTAGGTCATGACACACACGTCTCCTGTTCACCTCCAATTTCCAGAGTCAGGGTTTTGTGAGACAGGTGACCTTGGCCCCACATAAACTCCTTGCTGCCTTTCTCCTTACCCCAGTCTTACCCACATGACTTTGTTTTACACACACTGTGTTGGTTTACCCAGAAATGGGTGACCTCTCACTCTCTAACCTGGCTCAGTGGGAGGGGACATAGAGCAGTTTTGGCCGGGGTGGTGTCTGTCTAAAGGGAAAAGGTATGGGTGGTCAGGAAGAGGCAGTGCTTGGGTTTCGGGGAATATGTGTGGGGTGAGGTTTGCTTAGTTCTGCCTCCCACCTGCTCCAGGAGTCAAAGGTTCCTCCTTATCTGATTCTTAACTCAGCAGAAGCACTGTAGCTGCTTGAAGTAGCCTGTGGGGCTGCATATCTGCCAAAGTGTTGGGACAGAAGAAAAACCTTTCCTTGGCCATGACGTTAGGTGTCTAGGGGCACAAGCAAAAAGGTAGAGAAGACCAGGGATTTGGGGGTGGGGGGAGGGGGGGGAAGGGTTCCCCTGGGACCTGAGGTCCAGAGAACAGGAGCCAAATGTTTTCAGTCTGCAGGCTGGAGAAAAAGGGGTACACCTCCCACAGGGGGGCTAGTAAGGCCAGAGGCCGCCAAACATAGACCTAGTCTGTGCTACTCCTCTCTCCCCTACCCACAGAGCTTGGTCACTTCCCTGAGCCTTGGTCTGGCTCGCAGCACAAGGGCCTGTCTTACTGGGGACGTCTGTTCCCTGGGAGCTGGAGGAAGTAAAGCTGGGGTCTGCTTCACCTCTCCAGCTGAGGTGAGGGTGGCTTGGGGTCGCCTCCTGCCCTCCCGCTGCAGAAGTGCATCACTGCCCTCTGGTGCTGAGCTGGAGAATACCACACTTGTCAAGGCGAGGAGGGAGCCTTGGCCCGGTAAGTCCTAGTACCAGAAGGCAGAAACACAACTAGCTCCCTCTCCTGGTTTTCTGGTCCCCACCCATCCTTTTTTGTATTACATTATGTATCATTAAAATGAAATAAATACTTTACCCTCCCCCAGTATGCAGGGAAGCTACAAGAACGAGGGTAAGGGTGGGAGTACAGCTCTCTCTTGGGAAGGGGCTCTGCCCGGGGTCCCCCAACTTCCATCCGCTCAGAATAAACCAGATCTGGGGGAGAAGGCTGCATCCGCAGGGGCCTCTGGAGCCTCCTTTCAGCACCTTGGGCTTCATAAGAAGGAGCAGCAGCTGGGCTGTTTCTTCTGGGACTCCACAAAGTCTCGGATCTGGAAATGAGGCCCATTGGGCTGCCACAAGGCTCTGGACTTCAGCTCCCTTGAAGAGGAGGAAGAAGTGGGCTGGGCAGGGAGTGAGGAACTGAACCCTCCTCACTCCCATGGCCTGGGGCTCCTGGACCTAGAATGCACAGTGCATTGGGGCAGGGGCTGGGCCAGGGGCCAGGCCCTACCGGATTCCCAGATGGTGCCACCCCGCCCTGCACGGTTCCCTTCCTTGCTCGGCTCTTACTTGGCAATGGCCAGAAAGGCTAACTCCACATTCATGCCCGTCTTGGCACTGGTCTCCATGAAGGGAACTCCGTACTCCTGCCAGGAAGAGAATGTCCTCAGGGCCAGCCTCTGGCTGTCCCCACCCCTTGTCCTGCCCACGGGCAGTCACTTACCCTGGCCAGTATCTCTCCATCCTCCGAACGGATCACCCTTTCGCTGCTCACATCCGCCTGTCAAGCCCAGGTGGGTCACTCTGGGGAAGGAAACCTCCACCCCAGGGGCCCCTCTTTAGCCGCAGGAGCAGCTACTGCCTGCCCTCTGCTGGTGGCCTGTGGGACTGCGGGTGGTATGATTGGCTTCGAGCCAGGATTTCGGCCTTGTTCAGGCTGAGTTACGCAGCTCCCAGCCAGGGGATCTCACTGCCACTTGGGGAGATGGGAAACTCTCCTTTGCAGGGGTGTGGTGACCAGCCTCAGAGAGGTGACAGTAGTTGGGACTAACCCTTGCTGGTATTAGCTCATCATCTGTGACCCTACTTTACTATGATCTAACGGGGGCTGAGCAGTTGGCCATTCCTGGATCTCTCAGATGGCAGCGTGGGCTTTCCCTGGAGGGGGCCATTTCCAAAGCTTTACGAGGGCAGATGAGATGGGCTGAAGCTGCCAAATAGGTCTGACCCTTGAACTGGAGTCTGGAAAGAATCCTTTGCCGGGGGCGCCTGGGTGGCTCAGTTGGTTGAGCGACTGCCTTTGGCTCAGGTCATGATCCTGGAGTCCCTGGATCGAGTCCCTGGATCGAGTCCCTCATCCGGCTCCCTGCTCAGCGGGGAGTCTGCTTCTCCCTCTGACCCTCCCTCTTCTCCTGTGCTCTCTCTCTTTCTCATTCTCTCTCAAATAAAATCTTAAAAAAAAAAGGAAAAGAAAAGAATCCTTTGCTGGAAGGACATGCAGCTAACCCTCTTGGGCAGCGGTGGGGCCTGCGTGGAGCTAGTAAGAGAGGAGGCACTGGGACGGGCTCACTCACCTTGTTGCCCAGCAGCATGATCACTACATCCCTCTGGGCATACTCATGAATCTCAGTGAGCCAGGCCTGTGGGAGAGGGTGAGCTGAGCCATGCCGTGCCTGAGAACCAGCCCTTCTCTCCTCCCTCTCCCCCATCCTTCTTCTGTCCTGTTTGACTTTCCTGGGCCACTCACTGTCCCCCCCTGCATTCTCTTATCTGCCTCTTTGTTCTGGCCTCTCTGGTCTTGATCAGCCTTCCTTACTAACCTTCCTACCCAACCCCAAGCACTGCAAACTCCCCCCCAACCCCAAGCACTGCAACTCCCTGTTCTATGGAAACTGGAGATGGAGGAGCTTTATCTCCTAAATCAGTTGGTAGTCACCAGCGATTTCCTGGAGTGCCTTGTTGAGGATTCCAAGGACACATAAGGGCTTAGTGATAAAAAATATTGTGATTGATTGGTGATGTCTACCAGGAACATGGAGCTGGAGGTGGCAATATGAGTGGATTTCCATCCTCTTTATAAGCTGCTTTATATCTATATGTTTTGGTCCCCGTGTGGCCCCCCCCCGCCCCCCCCGCAATTTGCTTGCCAATCCCTTGAGGTCAGGGAGATGTGAAACTGTTATGGTGCTGTACACACTCAGTGCTTGTACTTGTTGAATTTTTATCCCTACTCTGTAATAGTTTGGTGAGGACAGAACTGCTCACTGCCCAAACCACTTTCTTTGCCACCTGGGCTGGCTGGCTGGAGAGACTCTCCTGCTTGGGTTTTCCCCTTGGTCTCTGTGGGTGGGTAATTGCCCAGGGCGGAGCTGGGTACTGAGCAGACACTTTGTCATGAGCTGCCCTCAGGAATCACAGCCAGGGCTAAGCAGGTAGCACAGGCACCCAGCGGCCTGCCTGGCCTTCATGCCCACGTGCCAACCAGATGCCCAGCGGCAGCTTATTCCTTCTGAGTCACAGCGCAGGTGTTTTTGAAAAGGGGGCAGTGTTCCATGCTCCTCCCCCTTCCCACCAAGCAGGAAGCAGTCCTAGCTTGCGGAGGGCCCGCCTTGGCTGCTTACGGGTGGCGAGGGAAGGGGACCTACCCGGATGTTGTCGAAAGAAGACTTGTTGGTGATGTCGTAGAGCAGGAGCAAGGCTGCAGGGACAGGGGGAGAGAGGGATCACACAGGGGACGTGGGGCAGAAGAATGGGTATGCCAGGTGGGCTGGGGAAGGGCTTACCCTGGGCATCTCGGTAATAAGCATGGGTGACGCTGCGGAATCGCTCCTGCCCGGCTGTATCCCAGATCTAGGAAGGGACGGACAGATGGTCAGAAGGAGGCAGTGTGCCGGGACCGTGCTGGGCAGAGGGAACCCACGCTGGAGTATGAGAGCTGTGTGGGAAGGTGGGACACTTCCTGCTGCAGGTGCTCAGGGCCTTTTGAACATGTGATGGTGTCCTGCACGGTGCTGTTATTGAGTTCACAAGCTCATTCAGGAGGCAGCCTCTTCCCTAGTCCAGAGGTTGGGGGTGCCCAGTCTCCCAGAGCAGATGAGGCCTGGGAAACTGGAGAGGAGCTGGAGCAAGCCTAAGCTTGTCTGAAGGCACGCTGAGCTGCCTTTGATAGCGGAGAGGGTGCCTGGGAACTGCTTTTTCTAGAGACCTCGAACAAACAAAAGCACAAAAACCGTTTCCTCTGGGCCCCACAGGAAATTGCCCCAGGCGGAGGGCAGGGCTGCAGGCCTCCTGCGGTTTGGGTGCAGAGCAGGGGCGGGCACCTCCGTCCTCCCCCTCCCCTGCAGTTCCGGTCTCACCTGCAGCTTCACCCTCACACCATCCACGGTCACCACCTTGTTCTGAAAGAGAAAAGGGCAGAGGGAGGGTGGATTTGGAAGGCAGGGGAGGCTTGGATCCTGGACATTCTACGGAGCAGCAGACATTCTGTTCTGGTTGCTTCCCAGGGTTAAAAGGGGTACAGTGAGCCCCAGAGATGACTCCAGTCAGATCACCCCCTCAGGGCAGCAGGATCCTGTCTCCAGAGACTGCCCCCCCCCCTTGCAGAGTTCTTCTGGGGACTTGTCTGCTCTTCTTACAACACGCGGGGGGCAGAAGAGCCCGAGCACCTGCCTGGCTCTCCCCAGACCTCAGCAGGTGGCACAGGGCTGGGCACTGGGGGCCCTGCCTCTTTCTCACTTCCATCCATCCCTCCTGGAGCTCAGCCCCATCCTGTAGAACCGAGTTCCTTAGAGAGAAGATGCCCCCCAGCATCCTGGGCACGGCTGAGGCTGGACCTGCAGGATGGTCTTTCCCTCTAGCTGTTCACTAGTTCTCCTAAGTGAAGCTTCAGTTCCTTCCCATTGGGAGGGAGGCACCTGGCCTCTGCATTGCCTCCCTTCCCCCACCCCCCACCTGGGGTTAGACCTTACTCTCCTGGACCCTTTGGGTGGAGAGTGGCAGAGTGCTACATCCCTGACACAGATTTGTAAAGATGGGTTCCTCAAGACAACAGGGAGGGAGCCTGGTGAGCCCGGCTCTTCAACCCAGTGCAGTGCTGTGTTTCCAGGAACTCCAGAAAGACCTGTTGACCTCTGGGGCCTTGTCAGAGGGGCCCAGCTCGGAGGGCAATGAGCAAGGGGGCTGAAGGCTAGGAAACTCAGCTCATACCGTGGGATGTGTCCGCCTTGCTCTAGGGCAGAATTTTTAAGACTCAGTGTCTCATTGCTCATATCCTGTAGGTGGGCAGAGAGCCCCCGACCATGCCCAGACTCCTTGAACCTGGCCCCCTCTGTGGTCCCAAGGCGGAGCACCGCTGGTGCCCTCTGGGTAGTGAGCCACAGCAGCTCTGAGGAGCCAGGGCCGGCAAGGAGAGGACAGCACGCTGTGCCTGAGCCCTGGCCCCCCTGGCTTGCAGCTGGGAGGAGGAGCCGGCAGCCACCTCACCCTGAAGTCTATGCCGACCGTGGCTATGAAGGTCCCGGACAGGAAGGCCCCGTCTTTGAATTGGATCAGGAAACAGGTTTTGCCAACGCCTGAGTCTCCCAGAAGCATCACCTAGGAGATGGGGGGGTGGGGGCAGAGGCAGTTAATGGGGAGTTGGGGCAAATTTCTGGGCTCCCAGGGTGAGAGACCCTGGAAAGAGGGGCGGAGGGGCAGAGGGCCAGGGAAGGATGCTGTTGGCACTGAGGGCCACCTGCTTCTGGAAAGCCCGCCGCTGCCTTCACCCTGCTTCTCCTCTCTACTCCTTGGCTCAGCTCATTTCTCAGGCCCTCCTTCTGACTCTCCTGTCCTCACCCAGTTTCCTGGAAGCCTGAGTTGAGACCGCAGCATTCATAGGTCAGCAAATGTGCTTGGTGGCCCCAAAGAACCACCACTTCCAGAAGGGAAATGTTAATACCGTGGACAGGGATTATCACCCAAGGGAGGCTATCGGATCTGATAGGGGCGGGCACTGTTGTGTGCAAAGGCATAATTCTAAAATTACCACTGCTGTTGTTTTCTTTTCTTTTTTTGGTCACAAGCTTTATCTGGAAGTTTCTAGTGACATTTTATGTTTATAAAAGGGTTGCATGAACTGGGGAGGGTTGAAATTTATGCTGAAATGGGGAGATGAGTCTGAAGTTCTTTCTGCAGAAACTTCCCAAGTGGGACAGATGGCTGCAAATTAGCATCCCTGGGTCACTGTAGGGGAGGGCGGGTGGGGTGGGGTGTGTCCCTCCCCTTTATTGTCTGGTCAGTCTCAGCTCATCTATCTTCTTTCAGGGACAAGACAAGTGGAGCCAGAGGAGGGGAGCCTTCTGTCCAGTCATTCCTCAAGCTTGGAGAACAGAAGTCTGGACCTAATGCTGGAATTTTCCCAGTTGGCTGGTTAGATACTTAATGGGTTGAGCAGGGACTAGGTTTGAGTTATTTTTGAGGCTCTGACCTTGACAATGGAGCCCAAAGGCATTCCTGCTGTGGGCATGGGGTACTAGGATTAGCTAACTTTGGCGAAAAGGTAAGGGGACTGAGCAAAAGGCATATGAAGGCTGGAGTCCCGGCTTGTAAATGGCTACTGGGGGATGTTCAGAAGATTCCTTAACCCTTCTGTGGCATGGTTTCCACAGCAGCTAGAAGGGAGGAAGGATAATTTTGTTGAGGCCTCTTTGGAGTCTGTTAATGACTTGGACCAATAATGCTGATGTGAACTACCTGAGACTCAGGGAAGAGTGGCCTGGGGCTGGGTGCTGCCTGCCTGTGGCCCCCATTCCCTCTAATTTGGCCCAAGGAGCTCCTGCCAGCCTCCTCCCAGACTGGCCTGGACTCAGTCTCCTGGGGCAAGCCCAGGGGATGCAGGCTGCTGGAGGCCATGGACCACTCTCCACAGATGCTTCTTGACCCAGGGGAGATGGAGAGCTGGAGGCTGGGGAGCCCTCTGGAGCCAGCACTGCTCCCTGGCTCCTGGGTCCTAGCCCCTGAGGGGGAAGGAGGGAGGTTGAGCTCCTGCATCCTTTTCAGTTCACAGCTGCCTTGAACAAAAGATGTTCACCACTCACCCAGCCAGGCGATTCCAGCCCAGCCTTGCCACCTCCTAGGCAAATAGCCCAGCTGGCTTGTCAGGCCCAGAGGTCAGACGGTCCTCACCAGCGTGGGGCCTGGCCCTTAGCAGCTCCCCCTCCCCTGAAGGCACAGGGGCCCATTTCCTGCTACCAGCCCACACAGGACGCCTATCTCAACGGCTCTGGGTGGGTGACTTGCAGAGTGGCTTCCCCTGAAACAATGGGGGTGGAGGCCCCAGCTCCTAGTGAGAGTGAGCCGTGGGGGAGGGGGAGGACACCAAGGCACAGGAAGAGTCAGGTCTCCTCCAAGGCCACACAGCATGAGACAGGGCAACCCCTCACTCATCCCCAACCTTACAGAGGAAGAGTGGAAGCTCTGTGCTCCCTCAGCACCTTGTTCAGGGTTCCCAGTCCCTGCCTCCTCCCTGGGCCCAGAGGGAGGGCAGACAGACCAGTGTCCATTGCCTCCCTCACCTGCTTCTGTACAGGGCGGCCCTGCAGAGGGATCTGGCCCCAGAGATCTGTCTTAAGCTAACCCATGGGGGACTTGTGACTAACCAACAGAATCTTTCTTAGTTTCTAAAAATTCTCAGGTGGGCCTGCATTTTGGTTAGCAACATCCTCTTGGAAGAAGGCGGGAGGCAATGGCTGCGGGAGCAGAAAGGGAAGGGGTAGGGCTCGGGGGCACCCGGGGTCCCACAGAGCTTCAGGCCTAGGGCCTCCAAACGCCATTATTCAGTCTCCGCTGAGAGCTTAACTGGGGAAAGGGCATTAACCGCAACTGCTCCGCCGCCAGGGGGCGTCCTCTCCGCGTCTCCAGGCATCCCTTTATCCTAGCGTTTGGGGGTCCCTGTGCCGAGGAGGTTTGTGTGCTTAACCCGTACTGAGAAGCACGGGGTTCCCGGGAGATCATAGCGGCCAGGATGCAGCAAAAGAAAACTGGGTTGGGGTCCCCTGTGTGGGGAGTCATTCAGTCCTTCCGACCCTCCTCTTTCCACCCTTGCTGAGCCAGCCCAGAGCCCTAGACGATGGCATAGCGCCAGGGGCTGTCTCCACCCTTCCTCCCTGCTCTGGGAGACCCGGCTCCCTGGCGGAAGGGCTGAGTCCAACGCAGACGAAGCCAGAAAGGGGCTTGGACCGGGGTCTCAGGGCAAAGGGCGCGGGGAAGGGGTGGCCCTCAGAGCCGGCTGGGGAGTCCTAAGCGCTGGGCGCAGTGCCCACCCACCTTGCCCGTGACATCGTAGCTCGGACTGCAAGGCGGGGAGTGCTCGGGGGCCTCTCCATCCCGGGTGGCAGCGGCGCCAGACATGCCCGTCATGTCCCCTGGACCAGAGGTGAGCTAGGGCTGGTGGCGGGCGAGGGACAGCGCAGGGACCGCCCCGCTTTAGACTCCACCCCATCCTCCCATCCTCCACCGCCCCGGCCCAGACCCCGACAGGCTCCTCCCTCCGGCCGGCCACCCCGACGACACCTGCCCCAGCGGGCTGTCTCGCGAGGGCGCGCACGACCGCAGGGTCAGCGCCTGAGGGGCAGGCGGGGCCCCGAGCAAACTGGCCCGGCTTCGCGCTCTGAGGACACGGGCCAAATCCAGCCCCAGGACCGGTCCCCCAAGGTCGCCAGCGGCTCGGATTAGGTTCCCCGGGGAACGGTCCCTGGAAATCCAGCCTGCCTCGCAAGGTCTGGCATCGCTGGGACCCCGCGGTTCGGCGCCCCGGTTCTCGCTGCCGCTGCGCAGCGCGGCCTGCAGGCGGCGCCCGAGCCCCGGCCAGCTGGCGGCCGACAGGTGTCCCTGGGTCCCGGTTGTGAGCTGGGGACGCCTCTGGGCAGCGGGGCGCTGGTTTTGCGAGGAGGCGTGCATTGTGAGGAAGGCGCTCAGGCAGTTTTGCTTTTGCTAATGCACCCCAGCGCGAGCTCTTCTGAATATAATTTTATTTACCTACCGAAATTCACCTCGCAGCACATTTACACGGTGGTTTTTCATGGCGCCTGGTGGGTGCTAGGACTTTGACCCTTTATAGTGTAGATAACCTCTCATTTCTCCCTGACCTGTTGGGCTGCGCCCAGAATGACCCATCCTGGGAAAGCCTTCCCCCCACACACCTCCCAATCTAGGCGCTCCTGAAGGCAGGGCTGGCCTTATTCATGCCTCGCACCCGTCCCTTGGCACGGAGCAGGCTTTAGACGTTTGGTATTAAATGCATTCATGAGGTCGTGGATCATTTTGAGCAGATTGTCCAGGATAGCCCAGGAATCCTGTAGCTCCTGGTGACAGAGAGTGGGAGTGTGTCTGGGGTTGCCCCTAGTAGGCTTCAGGGACTCTGTGGCCCTGGCCAGCCATTTAGTTGCTCCTGTCCCAGCATTGTATACAAGCACACACAGCTTACCTCTGAACAGGGCAGGTGCATTATACAGGGACTGACTGAAGGATGTGTAGCGGGAGAGGGGCATCTGCACCTCTTGACTTAGGTGTTGGGGGTAAGGGGCAGGTGTGGCTTATGGAAGACTATAGGCCTGGTCGGGACTGTGTGTACACCTGCCTCTTAGCCCTGTGATGTTTGGCATCAGCTGGAGCTATTTTCTGGCGCTGGGCATGCCATCACCTCATCTATACGTAGGTGGGCCTCAGAGAGCCATCTGTGGGAGCCGAGAAGCTGTACGGTACTCTGCAGATGTGTGGTATGGTCAGCGCTTTGGATGCCAGAGTCACCTGCTGCGAATAACACCCCAGCCCACTCTGAGCTCTTGAGTGCTCACACTGGAACCCTGCAGGGGCAACGGTTTTCAGAGCAAGAGAGTAATGGCCAACAAGAAATGAGAGAGAGGAGGAGGCATGGCCCTTGCTCCCCATCCACCGCAAACCACGCTGTTATGGGTTGCATTACATCCCTCAAACCATCTGTGGATGTCCTAGCCCCTACTCCCTCAGAATGGGAACTTATTTGGAAGTGGGGTTGTTGCCGATGTGAGTAGTTAAGATGAAGTCATACAGGAGTAGGGTGGGCCCTTAATCCAATGTGACTGGTGTCCTTGGAAGAAGACGAACGGACACACAGGGAGAAGAGGCCCTGTGAAGACAGAGATAGAGATTGGGGTGCCGCATCTACAAGCCAAAAAATGCCAAGGATTGCCAGGAGCCACCAGAAGCCGGAAGAGGCAAGGAAGGAGCCCCCCCCTAGAGCCTGCAGAGGGAAATGTGGGCTTCTGACTTCCAGCCCTGGTTTGCGTTGTTGGCTCAACCAAGACCTTCCTTTGTCCTGTGGTAGGTTTGGGAGAGCCAGAACTGTCCTGTGTCAGCCTGCTTTAGGCTTTCAGTTTGATCACATACTTTCTTCCTTCTTAGAGGCCAGATGCCACACTTTTCTTACCAGGCTAGAGGCAAAATTTGGAGGTCCCACCCTGATGCATCTGTGGAGTGTGAATCAGAGTGTTCCCACCCACATCCACCCCACTGTCTGCCCTCTGAGTCTGACAGGTGGAAGAATGGGCGTGGAGTGAAGGGAGAAGGCTGGTGGCTGTGAGGGCCCCCTGTGAACTTGTGTGCTGAGGGGCAGACGGGGAATGGGCCCATGGTGGGGGGTGCCTGGCATGGCAGCCTGGTCCAAGGCCTCAGGAATTGTCTGGACAGCCTTGCTCTCCTGGGACTCAGCCCTGTCCTTCCCAGCACTCTGGAGGCTGGTCATGGGAGAACCCTGGGCGCTGGTGTCTCAGGTTGGATTAGGCCCTGGCACACATGCTGGCCAGGCTTTCACTTCTGTTTTACTTTGAATCCCTGGCCATCACGAGTCCTTGCCTTCCTTGCTGTGACCCAACAGGAAAGTCCGGTTTCTGGGGGTTCCCCTTGTCTCTTCTCCCAGTGTGACATTCCTGCCTCCCAGCCCTGAGTGTGGTCCCACAGGCCCTGTGCCCTGCTCCATCTTGACCCTGAGGAGATCCAGGGAAAGGCAGAGAGCTAAGAACAAAACTTTAATTGGCCTGCCAACTCCCTAGGACCCACACAACAGTGTTAAATTTGGACTGTACTTAACATTTGAAGCCCTCCCTTTGCTTCTCCACATTCTTCTTGCCCTGGAAGGTGGACCTGAGCAATCTGTATCAAGATATTCTTTCTGGTTTCCAGTTGTGTTCAGCCAATGGGGAGCCCCAGGAAGAGATGGGGGAGCAGGAGGAGAGCATGGTAGGAGGGAGCTGCCTTGTTGCCCTGGCTAGCTCCCAGGAGGGTGACTATGAGTTGCTGGGTTTCTCCACTGAGGGTCACAGCTCCTGCCAGCCAGCCCTCCCCTTGCAGGCTTTTTCCCCCAGGTTCTGACAGTAGATCTCTCCTCTTGCTTTTTTTTTTTTTTTTTAGGTTAGGGCTGGAATGGAGGCCCTGCACTATGCATGGGCACTGCACCATACCCCCTGGCTCCCCAGCACCCTGCCTCCACCTTGGTAAGTAGTCTTCGTATTAAACCTTGAATGATCCAATGTGAGTGTCTACCTGTTTCCTGCTGGGACCCTGACAGAGACACACCAGGGCCCCAGAGTCTGGGAGCGCTTACTGTGAATCCGATGCCCACGGTGGCCGAGAAGGAGCCTGGGATGAACTTGCCCTGGTCGAACTGAACCAGCAGAGATGTCTTCCCCACGCCACTGTCACCCACCAGGATGGTCTGAAAGGGAGCAAGAGAGGGGTGAGGGTCTGCAGTGTGTACTGGGCTTTGGAGATGCCGTTGTGGCTGTGGGAGTGGGCTCCTTCTAAACACACACACACACACACACACACACCCACACACACACACACACACCCCAAACTCTTGATTTCCTAATAGAAGTCACTGAAGAGGCATGAAAGAATAGAAGGAAACTTGTTTTGCCCCATGTTAATGAACATCTGAGGTGACCATGAGAGCTTGCTTCTCAGACTTCCAACCATAGGGGCGTAACTGACTGAGGCGCCACTGTGCCCTCTGAATGCCCCAGAGGTGTGTTTGCACCGAGGTCATTCTTATCACGGGTTGTTCCCAGCCAAAGGCAGAGTGTGGCAGGGACACTGAGGCAGGCTTGTTTCTGGGAGACACAGGATTCCCCTAATGGCTGAATTTGGCTTGAGGACGGTTTTACAGATCCTTCCAGAGATTGCACGGTGGTCTACTTCACTTGGGGTCAGACCTGCATCATGGTCTGTGGGCTCTCTCTGCCTCTCCCAGCGTCCACCCCACTTTTTTCTTTTCTTTTCTTTTTTTTAAGATTTTATTTATTTATTTGAGAGAGAGAGAGAGAGAGAGAGAGAATGAATGGGGGAGGGGCAGAGGGAGAGGGACAAGCAGACTCCCCGCTGAGCAGGGAGCCCCACATGGGGCTTGATCCCAGGACCCTGAGATAATGACCTGAGCCAAAGTTAGATGCTTAACCGACTGAGCCACCCGGGTACCCCTACCCCACTTTTTTTTTTTTTATAGGTATTTCCCTTAATAAATTCCTTGCACTTTTAATTCCCTTTGGCACCAGTTTCTTGGGAGAGTAACACAAAGTCTAAAAAAACATTGTCTATAGAATAAAAAAAATCAGAATGTCTGGATATATGCCTTGGAAGTGTTTGCCCTTGGCTCTGGAGCATTGGAGAGGACAGTATTTCAAGAGGAGAGTTTGGGAAAGAAGGGAATGGCTACTTCTGTACCTGGAGGAAGTAGTAGGGAGAGTTAGTCGGGAAGGTCAGGTCAGGGAAGAAAATTATAAGCAATAGAGAGGAAATATACATACACCTAGAGGCTGGTACTCAGCAGGCTCTCAATGAATGAATGAATGAATGGGTGGATGGATGAATGAATGAGTTGTATATGCCTTAGTTTTAAAATGGACAATAGCTACTTTCCAAAGACAAGCATTCCAAGTCATTGGAAAGGCTCAAGAGATGCCAACTTTAGCTGGACTTGCAAAGCCATAAAGATGAAAAAGCCAAAAATGTAAAAGCATAAGGATTGACAGGGTCTCCTGGGGTTGGACCCATGGCCTCAACACTCTTTGGCTCTGACACATTAGATTGTTTGTAATATTGACTTTGGATGCCCCCTGACTATGGTCCCCCACCTCCACTTCCCAAACCAAATTCGATTCAGCTTTTATTTCCTCCTGGGTTAAAGGGCTCCATTTGTTTGTTGTGTGCAGTGGCTTTAATAATTTACATCTCAAATCCAACTTCTTTGGGCTGCAAGAAGTGCTCGCTAGAGAGACTATTTCAGAAGGTGAAGGGTCAGTCCCTCCATGTCCACCTTCTTCATTTACTAAAGGATATAACACATTGACATTCTTTTCCCTTTTATCCTTTCCTTTTCAGGGTGA